TTCAGAGCTGTTTATTCCCCTCACCTCAGCCTTTTTTTATAGAGCTTTTCAGGCAGTTACAACAGCACTGCATAATGAGTGAATCTCGGTGAAAATCTGTCAAGTTGCCGGATCAGACTTCAGCCCCAAGTGACAGGGGTAATTCAACGCTGCCAAGATGGGGTTTTAATAAAATTGCCTATGCAATAGAAACACAATTTTTATTTACATCTGTGCTACATGATTAGAGAAAACTGACAAAAAGGGCTGTGGTGAAGTAGATGTAGAAAAACTGTGAAACCCATAATGCACTGGGCTCAGTCAGACTAATGCAAAAAAAATTCGCATAAGCCCTGGAGCCAAAAAAAAATCGGACTTTTGCTGAATAAATAGGAATATCTTGCAGGCAACATGACAAAAATACACATTGTTCATTCACTTGTACTTCCAACACTGTAACAATACAAAGCTGGTTGAAAATTGGTGAACTAACCCTTTAAAAGAAAGCTAAATAAATATATGAGTTTCTAAAGAAAGGCTATTTTTAGTACTTTTATCTCCATGTTGCAAATATTACCATATAGAATAAATGTTCATTATTTTATGTAAAAAAAAAAATAAAAAAACATTTTTTTTATTATTTTTATAACCATAATCCAAACAAATTATCATTCTAAATACTATAATGCAAAAAGAATACTACAAAGTTAATATGTTAATAGATGCAATTAATTATGTACATTTACATTTAGCAAATGCTTTTATCCAAAGGAACTGACTCACAAACCAGTAACATGTCATAAAATATGTAACCTAATGTGTAATATAATGTAATTTTACACGAAAGCCTATTATGGGCATTTAAACGTTTTAATCAATTGATAGTCCTAATTTACATAATGTGTTGTGTATCTATTGTACCGTCTACAATTTATGCTAATTTTAACAAAACAAAAAATGGCCCTCGTTCTTGACAGGCTCTTGAGATTCACCTAAATCCTTATTCTTCACCTCACTGATGTAATATTAACATTTTCTAATTAACAAGGTTGAACTACATTAAAAACAGCATCATTGTCCCACAACAGCAAAAGAGAGACAAAACTCATCTCATCTACAAGCATCTTTCATCCTCCATCTCAAGACTCCTGTCTGCAGCCACTTCCTGCATACTGGATTCATATCGACTCAAGGGAAAGTCAATGGAAAGGCTGCAGAGTCAGACAGCAGTCTTACAGCGGAGGAGGAAACGTTTGAGCGTCCCGAAGAAAGAAGCCTATTTATTAGGGTTATTGATGAAGAGCTTGAGTTCTCTCTGCAGAGTCGCATCTCCCTATAGATCACATGCTAATTCAGCCTTCTCACACTCCCGCTTACGCAGCAGATCACTGAGCCGTCCTCAGAATGAAGCGTGCTCTGGAGTGAGCATGCAGCACTCCGCTGGGAAAACCTACTCGCGTGTGGATCAATCGGTCGCCGCCGTTATTCTGCTGAGGCAGAGGTACGGGGTGTGCCTGCTAAGCCATACAAGCATGGGTGTGTGCCATGTATGTTGAATCCAAGTCTTTGCTGTCTGCAAGGACAGCCTGTTTATGAAAAGAACGAAAAAGCAAAGGGAACGACTCAGGACGCACACTCTTCTTTGACTGTTGAGTTGCAACGTGAGGGCTCTTCAAGATGATGCAGCTTAAGATTCTGACCTAAGTGACTGACCTTCACGCACTGCTGAGGTTTCTCTAGACTTACCTGCCTGCAAAATACAGTCTTGATTCAGTCTTAAGTTTTATCGCATGGATTTGTGGAGTTGAAAGTGTAAATTTTTGCATCGTTAGCATCACTGAACTGTATAGGGCACAAAGCATACCTGACTAATTCTGTGAACTGAATGAATTATGTGACAAAACACAGTATTTCATGACAAAATGCAATTTTTTCAATTCAATTTCTATTCAATCTTTTATTTCATGCACAACAGAAAACAAATTAAATATGAACAAAATGCACCCAGCATGTCACAAGATCAATTTTTCTCGAAAAAAACCTAACTGTTAATTTTGCAAAAAAAATGTAATGTTCATTTTGCAAAACCCTAATATTAATTTCGTAAACAATAGAAAACAAATTTGCTAACAAAATGCTCCCAGCACATCACAAAATGCATATGTCCACAAAGTGTTCACTTTGCATAAAAAGGAATGTTTGTTTTGTGAAAAATTTTACATTTATTTCGCAAAAACCGTAACATTAGTTTCATAAACAATATTACGTCTGTTTCATAAACAACAGAAAAAAAATACTCTCAGCATGTTACAAAATGTTACATTTTTCGAAAAACTGAATTTTTAAAGGGGTCATATGATGCGATTAAAATTGTTCCTTTCTCTTTCCTTAAACCGCATAAACACATTTCATTACACCAAATACACAAAATAATGTTCTTTTTAGCAACATCATGACCCCTTTAATGCATTTAATGCATTTTAATGCATTTCATTCACAAAATGCACATTCTGTGAAGAACATAAGCATGTCTAATTTACTGCATTTTTGTCAATAAATACTGCATTTCATATCATGTATTTCATTCAGTCCACAGACTGGATACACCTGATACCCCATAAAACAGTGTGATTGAACAAAACAAGTAATTGTTTTTAAACAGGTTTCCCCAAACACTAAGCTTATCTGCAATTGGTCAGCCAAACATTCAGCCCCGCCCCCAACTCTGACCATTGGTTGAGCCATTGCTATATCAGACAGGTCGGGATGTTTAAACAAACAGAAAATATTTTGAAAGTGTTTACAATTTTAAGGAAAATCAGCCTATGAATGAATTACTTTTAATTACCTCTAAGTTGAGATAGAAAAAGTATTTTAGCATTGGAAAAAAATGCACAAATGTGTGGAAGAGTTCTTGAAAAAAAAAAAAAAGCAAAATGCTTTTGTCATGCAAAAAAAAAAAAAAAAAACTGCCAAAGTCCTGCCAATCCATTCACAAGAATGCAAGGAGCAAACTCAATTTTCCATACTCAAGAAACACTCTGTAAAAGAGAAATCCTGGCAATATCAGTGTTGGTTCACCAAACTATTCAAGGCCTGTAGAACAGAAGTGCTTGGACGCGATGCCAATATTAACAGCAGATTGTTGAGATCTGGGCAGGAATAATAGCACTGATGCCAACTCAAGACACGCAGGAACCTAATGCCCCTTTACAACAACAATACAGCCTGTAGCTATGCAGCATCTACATGTCTACTGACAAAAATCAACATATTAATAATTAAACAGCTAGACCTCATTGAGCTGGAACACATACAAGTTCCTCTACTGCACTCAGAAGTTCATTTTTTTCCCAAGTTCTGCAACTTAAGTGGTAACATTTTCTCAAAGCTTCTCAATAACTACACAATGAGGATAAATTGTTTTACTCACAAGCATGCACATGAAGCTTGAGCCAAAGTCAACAATGTATTTAAGTTCTTTCTTACTCCAAATCCTGATTCGAGTGGCATACAGAAAGCAGATCTGGAAGTTAATTTGTCCAGTTTAGGAATTCAAAATGAACACGTGACTACACATTCATACTACAACCGGTGCACCGCTGCCAACTCTTTTAGTAGCAAAGAGTTTACCTTCAGTTTTATGACCACCATTGAGAAAACATTTGGTAACTGTTCAAGTTTTTTGTCTGCATGTCCAGTGGCTTTCAGACCAAACTTGTTGGGTCTTTATGACCAATGAATTTCCATTACCTTTCCCCTTATAAGATAAGGACTGAAATGAATCACCAAAAAACAATATGTTCATAAACTGAGCATAACCATGGCTTGCAAACAAGTGATCTGGAAGTTAATTTGTCCAGTTTAGGAATTCAAAATGAACACGTGACTACACATTCATACTACAACCGGTGCACCGCTGCCAACTCTTTTAGTAGCAAAGAGTTTACCTTCAGTTTTATGACCACCATTGAGAAAACATTTGGTAACTGTTCAAGTTTTTTGTCTGCATGTCCAGTGGCTTTCAGACCAAACTTGTTGGGTCTTTATGACCAATGAATTTCCATTACCTTTCCCCTTATAAGATATGGACTGAAATGAATCACCAAAAAACAATGTTCATAAACTGAGCATAACCATGGCTTGCAAACAAGTTTTACTCTTCACAAACTCTCAAGTTTAAAAGCTTGATAGCTGTGTTTTGGGATATTGTAGATGGTGTGCATCTCAGACCTCCATCAAACCAGGTAACATCTGTTTTTACCAGTTTAGAGGAGTCAGGTTGGTTTTTTGAACATAGTAACCGGTCGACCAGCTAGCTACATCTTGGATTTTCCAACTTGGAACTAGACTATCTATAATCAACATAGAAATTTCATGACTTTTCCAGACCTGGAAAACACCAAATGTCCAACTTCCAGGTTGTTCATGGCCATCAATCCCTGTCAATCAACACTTTGAAGGCTTGAACCTGCAACCTATCCATAACCATTAACCACTGAGCCACACAAGCCATTATAATAACATATAAAAGGTATAGAAAGCACCATTCATCATGAATGTCAAATAATGTGCTAGCAACACTGAGTAGGCTGCTGTGTGGATCCAGGCTTCAGCTTGAGCTGATTTCCAAGGAAGTTTCCAGTCCTCGCCCTCCATCCGTGCCTCTGAAGTTCTTCCTACGCTCTCTGTTTACTTGCAAACACTGTAATGCATTTTACTGTAACATACGAGCGTTATAACAGCCGACGTGTCTGTCCTCTTGGAAGGAGTTTCGAAGCCGAACGCACAAGCGCGCGCCGAAGTTGCAACAATGTAACGAACAATCCTTTGTGACGTAACAAACACAAACGCGAAATCTACAATCAAACACCTCAAGCGGACCTTTCGCCGACGGCCTCTTCCCTGTTCTTTCGTTTCTATCTTTCTTTCATTCTTTCTCCAGAAAAAGCGCCATGTTGAGGGCAGCAGCGCAGCTGACACGCTGTTTTTCCTCAAAAAAACAAGCACACTCGACTTACCTTGGCTATGGCTTTTTTATATCTCATTGTGGCTTGCTGAATAAGACTGTGTATTTGGATATTCCCATCCCCACAGGGAACGACCACCCGCGTCCTTCCGAAACACACTGTCACTTTCATATTCGCCCGATATTCCCAGAGACTCCTCCACAGGGAAGCGAGAGAAGTGTTGAACTCTTCAGGAAAACTCAGTAACGTTAAGCCACGGCAGCATTGTATCCGTCCAGGTAAGAAGCGGGATGAATCCTCATGTTGTGCTGCTCAGGTGGGACTGGAGCACCTGTTCGGCGTGTGTCGCGGTGAAGTGACCGTGGGCTGGGCTTCCCACGCGCTCTTTCACAGCTCTCTCTGAGACTCACACTGACTCACTGCTGTTTCAAAGTGTGCTCCTCGTGTATTCCGTCAGGGACGACTGTCTGTTTCAGGTTATAGACTCGTCAAGTAAAAATAATCTTGTTTTCTGTTTGAAATAAGATTATTTTGCTTACCCCATTGGCAGACTATTTTGCTTCTTCAAAGCAAAATCTCACTTAATTTTGACTTGTTTTTTTCTGAAAACAAGACAATCATTTTTACTTGTCTAGAAAATCCTTCTTGATTTAAGAATTTTGAGATATTTTGGCTGGAAACAAGACAAAAAATCTATAAGTAAGAAAAGCATTTTTTGCAGTGAAGGTTCCTTATTGCTATTAAGGTTCATGATGAAACCTTGGGCCATTAGGTTAAACCTAAGGGGAAAAAATTGTTCTTTTGAGAACTGTTTTCTTCAAGGTTCTTTAGGGAACCAAAAATGGTTCTTCTATGGCATCATTTTTAAGAGTGTATGTGCTTTTGTGGGTGGGCAAAAATGGGTCATCATCGGGTTTTAGACTCGTTAAGTGCTGCTATATTCTTCAGTTGCTATTCTATTCGCTACCTACTAGTCCCAGCTTCAATTATACACCACTACATATTCAAGATGTAGGCTAATTCATATTTTGAGCAACCAGAAAACTCTTAAAAATAAAGGTTCCTTATTGCTATTGAAGGTTCCATGATGATCCTTGAACATCTATGTAGACTTTCCATTACACAAAAAGTTCTTTAGAGTAGAAAGATCCCTTCAGATTTTTAAATGATCTTAAAACAAAAAAAAATGGTTCTTTTAAGAACTGTTTTCTGAAAGGTTCTTTAGGGAACCAAAAATGGTTCTTCTATGACATCACTGTTCAAAACACCTTTTTGGAACCTTGTTTTTAAGAGTGTATGTGCTTTACTCCTGTGGTGCGCGAAAATGGGATATTGGGTAAAAAAAAATAACTTTTATCATTTTGCCTGACTTCATCAGTGATCAAGCTTCAACATCTAGAACATAGATCCAGGAGTAAATTCGATTTATCTCATTAATAAATCTCTGTAAAGTATACATATCGCCTGCAAAACTTTAATTGTGGTTTGTATGGTCAATTAACACTTTAATTATTGATAAGGGTCTACATCCTATTTAAGCTTATCATAGCCTGGACATTTCCTGTCTGACTGTAGATGAGATTACGTGTGGCAGTCTATCAGTTAGCCGTCTGATAACGCTGGTTTTATGCCTGGCCATGTCAGTCATTTATGAACATTAGCTGGCCTAGATGATGGACATGAATCATATGACGGACTTCCAGCTGTTGGTAGTTCTTAATTATTCTGGTTTAGAGCTAAACCAGACCTTGAGTCAGTAATAAACCATCTGTCATGTTCCAAAAAACATGTTCCAAGTTTGTAAGGCATTGTTTTTTTTTCAAACGAGACAAAATAACTTTCTAACTTTTGCCACTTTTCAGAAGTAAGCAGAAATTTGCTATAAACATACATTAAAGGGATAGTTCACCCAAAAATGAAAATTTGATGTTTATCTGCTTACCCCCAGGGCATCCAAGATGTAGGTGACTTTGTTTCTTCAGTAGAACACAAACGAAGATTTTTAACTCAAACCGTTGCAGTCTGTCAGTCATATAATGGAGGTGACTGGGAATCACGGCTTTGAGAGTAAAAAAAAACATACACAAACAAAACCAAATTAAACCCTGCGGCTCGTGACGATACATTCATGTGTAATGACATGAAACGATCAGTCTGTGCAAGAAACTGAACAGTATTTATATCGTTTTTTACCTCTGATTCACAGCAATGTCCAAACTGTGAGGACGCGTCTTCTTCTTCTTCTTGCTTTACGGTGGATCGCAGACTTATAAGTGCATTACCGCCA